CTACAGATGGCGTTTACCGCGCCATTTGTGGTATTTTCTAAAACGCACTGTTAAGACAGCAGGTAAAAGTTGGTCTGTGTTCTATCGGAGCTGTCTGCGACGCGCTGCTGAGATTCAAAAAGATCGAAATCGCGATCCGCGTCTGGCAGTTTCGACAGAATACAGACCACTTCGAATCATTTTATTCTATTAAGCTAACGTGCCTGTCACGTTGAGGTTGGCTACGCCACGATTCGTTATTAGCAAGTAGATATCCTCACAAGTGGACCTTGTTGGAGCATACGTAATCCTAAAATGTAGCACTGTACTACAGATGGCGTTTACCGCGCCATTTGTGGTATTTTCTAAAAGACTCATAGTCAGTCTGATAGTGTTAATACTCATAATAAGTAGGCACATTTCTCTTTTTATATATTCCCTAATATTAATAATTTACTTAGGTATCCGTTAATTAGTACATTATATCTGAATGTTAGTTATTATATCGCACATTTCTGAGAAAATTAATTGTAACCCAGGTACGTGAACGATTTTATAAATGTTTTCGCGTTTTCTCTTAAACTACGGAGTCTGAAAAAGAAAATATGTGCCACAATTTCATGTTAAGATCATTAGTTCACTTTTTCTGGCATACTTCAGGATTTTCAGAGAATCCTAAGGAGAAAAATACGTACCAAACTATTTTTATTTACTTAGTTCTCATAATAGAATTTTCTTTCATCCATTTGTTATTTTTCTTGAGATTTCTTCCTTTCAAGATAATTAGAAGAAGTTCATTCAAAGCTTCATAATGGACCTTTGACCGATTGTATTTCTACTAATGAGTCCCTACAGCGACTGCTTAAAGAATTTGTATGGTTGTTGCTTAATCAGAGATATCTCAGTTAAATGTATTAATTTGGTACTTCTTTTTATTTAGAAGACAGCAATGTTCTTTGATATTATAAGTTCTTTGATATTATCCATTTATACGGTTTCATGTAATTCTAGCGTCTGTTTATTGCGTTTACTTTTGTTATCACAAAAAAGAAACATCTTTCTAAGAGTTTTTGAGTCTTTCTTTAATTAAACAATTTCTACTGAATTGATAATGTCGACGATTTTTAAACGATTATTCAAGATTTCCTAATAATTTAACTTCCAATTACACATAGTATTTAAAAAAATACACTTATGAGTAATTCATATGCACTGTATAAGGATCTAAAATGATGAAATATTTTTTTGGCTATAGCTCTTGTGAATTTTGCAGATAGTTCACGTTCCTAAATTACTAAAATCCACGTGGTAGGACATTACATTTTGTTCAGGTGGATATGAAATTTCAAAACTGAGTAGATTAAAAAGATTAATGAATGAATGTATACGTAAAGGCTAATTCAGTCAGTAATTTTCAAATCATAAGTTCCAGTTGATTGCCTATCCACGCTGCGTGTGACAGGTTCGATGCAGCCTAGAGATAAAGTGTGTTTTTTGACACCTTCACTATGCACAAAATTTGCGAACAAATTTGAACAAACGTCGTATTTTAGTTAAATGGGTCTATTGAATTTTGTTGCTGTTAAAGTAGGTAAAACAAAAATGTATTGATACTCTTTAAGTCCTGTTTAAAGTCTCATACGCACAATGTGAGGCATCAAAGGTGTAAGTAGATAATGTTGTTAATATAAGTGTAGGTATTTACATAATTTATTTTCTACAATTGATATTTATCGATACATTTATTCATTACATTACAGGATTGGGGATTGGAATTTTCTTAGCAGCTATACTAACAGTTTTTAATTTGTATTTCGACGAAAAGAAAAAAGTTGTCATGGGCGTGGGCCAATCTTTTACAGTTATGATCACAATTTTTTATCCAATGTTCGTTAAGAATTTATTGGATGCATACGGTTTTCGAGGAACGGTAGCAATTTTAGCAGCAATTAGTTCGCATGTTATACTTGCGGCTGTATCACTTCATCCTGTTAAAATGCATATGAAGAAAGTTGTTATGACCGATATGGAAATAGAATTTGGTAAGTTATTGTTTTCTTATAACCGATTTGAAGATAACTGCGTAAACTCTTCACAAATAATAATGAGTCATTTATATATTTACAAACATAATATACAAACGTAATACCTATATATTATGTAGGATACAATTTAAAACTAGCTAAAATAATAAATTATTTNACTTTTATTTATTTTCATACAATACTGTTTTGTCAATACCTCTTCCATTTTATTTAAAGCTAATTCCAACTCCTCTTTGCTAGATGCTGGTACTGTTATATCATCTGCAAATCTAAGCATATTAATCTTTTCTCCCTGTATATCAATCCCTACAGTTGTACTGTCTTTAATGATGTTGATCGCGTCTTCGATGTTTAGATTAAGAAGTAGCGGTAACAGTTTGCATCCCTGTCTGACTCCCTTCCTAATATCTACTTCTCTACGTTGCAGTATACGGTAACGAATACTTTTTCAGGATGTACCTGCTACACTCGAAAATATCGACGTCTAAATCACTACGACATTGTGTCATCCTAAGAAGTGTCAACTTATTTTTCGCGATTTTACTAATATTTCAACAGATTTAAGGCAAGAATGTTAAGAATCATTCTATGAGTGTCTGCTTCAAACATTTCATAACCGGGTACATAAAGTTGAATGTTCCAAAATTCTATTATTCTTCTTCTGTCCTAACTGCAGCGTAAAAATAAAAATGTACGAAGACATTATAAACTTTTATTAATATGTACCTCTTAGTGAGTTAAGGCTTTATTTCTTTTTTATTAGAAGTAGTTGTAACGGGGTGTATAGAACTTCTTTACTACTGATTACATCTTCGTTGAGCTTTCTGGTAAACAATACTTACGTTGCAACTTTTGAAGTCAACTTGTGTAGATACCATAGGCGCAAGCACAAAAGTCTTTAACGGTTTTAAACTTTTTATAGGGTGCTTACGTTGAAGGACTAGATTTCCAGGCTGAGCACTTTTTAGAACAAGACATATCCCTTTGTAATGACTCCGTGTAAGTCGAATAAACTCAATGACAACCTTGACGCGAAAGGTAAAAGAGTACCAAGTGTCATATAAAAAAGTGAATGGATTTCTACAAAATTACAAAAATTTTCAATATCGACTTTTGTAATGATTAAGTTGGATAGCAAGTAACCGTTTTGTTTTTCTTAGCTATCCCTTGTAAGTCAGAATGAAATTGAAAACTTTACTTCATTAAATATTGTTATACCGAGTAAGCAATGATTTTACTCAAAACCGCCCTGTATTTTCAGTCATGTGGGCAATGTTACGATGAACATCTTGTGATTTTTTTGTGATGTGCACGTATGATGTCACTCAGTACTCATTTACGTAATGGTCATGTAAGGAGAGTTCGAAGTTTTCACAAAAATGCATGTACTTTTTAGTCAGCTACCTGCATCTATATCAATATTATATTACCCACATAAAAAGAATAAACCTTTTCACGATTTGTTGTTTAAAACTTTGATACCAGATATATTTTTAAGTTAGTGGAAGGGTGATTACCAAAAGGAAAATTGCTGATCACAAGAAACTTTAATTAATCGATAATTTATTCAGAAACTTAAAACATTGATTTATAATTGACTTTGCAATAACTATAATTTAGATTCTCAAACATACTCACTCTTGCACAAATATATAAAATAGAATAATTATATTCTAGTAAATTGCAAAAAATTCAAATCAAAAGTAATTGTCCACAAACAAGAGTAGAAATAATAAAAAAAAATAAAAGTAATTTTAAAACCATAAAATAAACGTATACTTATTGTAATATCAACACTATACAATATACTCTACCTGAGAGAAACATGCAACTATGATATCCACCTAAAGAGAAAGAATCTTCTGCAAATGCTGTGGAAGGGGTAATCATAAACGGGGTAATTTAGACAGTCTCCACTTTCCACAATAAACTTTTTGCTTTTAAACTGAAAACTTACCAATACATCAAATCCTGGGATTTGAATCAACCTGTTCTCCACATGTGGTGTCTTACCTCGTTGCCTCCACTTCTCTTCTTATGCATCACGCGGCAAAATGTAGTCCAAAACGTTTGCTATTGATTTTATTAACCAATAGTACATTGGCCACATGTATATTTTTCTCTCTTCCTTTAAATACTCTTATGTTTCCGTTCGGGAACCTTCTCGAACCGTCCGGAAATGTTTCTTTTCCTTTGAACTGTTTAATTGCTTTCGCAGAACGCAGGTACGACACACACATTTACAAATACGGCGCACATGAAGAAAGGCGCCCGCGGCTAGTCGGCAAATCGATAAGCCGCTCACACACACGTACGCCCGATCGCACACAAATACCCTCGTGCTCGCTACTATATTAAATACAGAGATGTGATTTATTTGAAATACTTGCATTTAAAATGCAAATCGAAAATAAAAAATATTTTATACTTAAGTAAATGTAGTTAATTAAATAAGTACTACAAAAAAAGTATTTTGAAAATACGTATTTTGCGTTTAACATTTAAAATACAAAAGGGAAATCTNATTTAGCATTTAAAATACAAAAGAGAAATCTATATTGTATTTTACATTTGAAATAACAAATCAATAAAGTATTTGCATTTTGTATTTAAATACTTTTAAAAAAACATTTTTCATATCTCTAATAAAATACCCAATTATGAAATTTAAAGGCCTCATCTCAACTTGTCACTACAAAAGGACATAAAATAGATAGAAAATTGGTTCATTTAGAAGGTTATATACTTGAACAAAATATAACTGAAGAAATCTAATAATGTCGACGTTCGACGATAATAATACAAGGAATTATTTTTCAGGGAACACCCAAATCCTTCGTTATTAAGAAGTCCGTCTTATTACAATTTAGCTGTTGGAATTTCTGCCGTTGTAATCTCAGAACTAAATTTTCTGGCTTTACTGCCTGGATATTTGACGAAACGTGCCTTTACCAAAGAAGATATAGCTACCATAATGACTGTTAATTTTACTGCCGATTTGGCTAGTCGTCTCTGCTTCACGTTGTTAATGGGCGTTACCAATGTTTCCAGTCGAGTCTTGTTTTTGGGATGTACATTTATCTTTATGGTTGTACGATTTGGTAAGAAACAATACGACATGTACCACACGACAGAGAATTAATATTCTAATAGAAATGTCCTTTGTCAATTTTTAATGCACTGCATAATCATTATCCGGTTCCACTTCTACGCTACGCGGAAAAGAAAAGGTTAGAAGCGTTCAAAAAGCTAATGATGAGGATACCGTGAATAGAAAAGGTTAGAAATGAAGAGGTATTAGAAAGAATAGGAGACTATCGAAGTCAATAAAAAATGGGCGAGATTGGTTGGTAGGACACCTTCTCAGACATGAAGGTATAGTCAGAAACATATTAGAGGCAGAAACAGGAATTAAAAGGAGTATAGGTGAACCTAGATTAGATTACTATTCGCAAATAGTTAAGGATGTGGGATGTTATAGTTTTAGGGAAATGCGAAGATTAGCTCAGGATAGTTTATATTATGGTTATAAAAGGTTTCCTTGATTCCGTTATTTTAAATAATATGCTCAACAATAAACAGCTTTTTTATTTCTTAAAAATAGGAATTGATCACTCATCCACACGTCGGGAAGCTTTTGCTACATCCCCCTTCTCCCCTACCTCTCCCTTGACTTTATGACGTTACAGGATACCATAGAGTAAGTTAGAGCTTACAACACTGCCAATCATGAGTAATGATTTTACATTAAGTAAGCCGATTGGATGGGACGAAACGTTTTAGTCATTAGTAGGTATCTCAGTAGCAACGAATACCCACCAGATGGCGATACACTGCCTGTATTTGTTATAATAATGTTTGCATAATTGGCTCAAACCTGTTTCGGGTGTACACTTGTCCGATAGGTAGGTATCGGTAATATTGTCGCATAGAGTCACCTCACCATCTATTTCCTCTGAATCATTTTTTAAACATATCGTTTGAAAACAGTCAAATTGAAATCTGAAAATTCACTTTCAGATTTTGTTTTTCCAAATTTTATAATATGATAGGCNACCAGATGGCGATACACTGCCTGTATTTGTTATAATAATGTTTGCATAATTGGCTCAAACCTGTTTCGGGTGTACACTTGTCCGATAGGTAGGTATCGGTAATATTGTCGCATAGAGTCACCTCACCATCTATTTCTTCTGAATCATTTTTTAAACATATCGTTTGAAAACAGTCAAATTGAAATCTGAAAATTCACTTTCAGATTTTGTTTTTCCAAATTTTATAATATGATAGGCATTAAACATGTGTTCACCTTCAAGAAAATTTAGTTTTCGGGGTCTTGTGTTGTGACTCTACATTATGAGACGAAATGTTTTAGTTTTCACTTCAAGATCGGATTATTGGTGGATTATGGTAACATCCGGGTGCCTCGGTGCTATGAGAGGTCCTCTTTACACTTTCATCGCGTTGGTAATTGATGAAGAATATCCACAACAATTTCCAAAAGCATTTAGTTTTTACATGGTTATAAGTGGAATTACAGCTTTTAGTGTGGGTCAAATTTTATGTAAGTAATTAACCTTCTTGCATTGTACGATTTTTAAAAGCTTTCCTTTCGTAATTAGAAATAATAGAAAACACTATTCTCTTATATAGAATACTAACTAATACTATGCAGGTATTATAATGGGTTTAGGTGGATTAGCACGGACAATTATGAGATAATTATGTTATTCTATTAATGAAAAAAGTTTTAGGGGACGGGGAAAGTTTCACTAAAATGAATTTACAGATTCGTTAGAAGTACCGCAGCAATTAATTGCTAACCAATAACTTGTGGTCGGATTTGAAATTGTTAACTTTCATCTTCTTCCATTATTGTTTTTGTAGTTTATGTCAGCTGATCGTTAGTGCACCATTTATTGTATTAACTGACCGTTAATATGACTACCTAAAATGTATTTTATTGTTTAACAGGTGTAGAAGAATATTTACAGTAGATGTTTGCATGTTTGTTTCACCGATGTAGTGAACCGCTAACTTACTTTACAAACGTACTGCATTTGTGAGTATTTCAGTGGCAGCGAATACCCGCTAGATGACGATGCCTGTACTTTTTCCAAATTCTATAATACGACAGGCACTAAATACGCGTTCACCTTCAACAAAATTTATTTTTCGAGGTCTTGCGTTTGCTCAATTACATATTGTGCCAATTGTAATCACTAGAAGTTATTTTGAAAATTGTCTTCTAATGCTTCCCGACCAATATTCCTACTTTATGTTACTTTTCGTGTATTTTTGCTTGATTTTTAAATTGTATTTTCTTTAAACGAATTACTGTTCTAAAAATATACCTACCTACTCACTCTTTTTCAGATTTCATTGGTTATATGTCACAGAATGATGAAATGGTGTTGCACGTACTTACCATACTGCTCCTGGTAGTAGTTGTAACTTGGGCACCGGAAATGCTTTACAGAAAAATAAAAAGTATTAAACTACTATCTGGAAATAAATAAATAAATCTTTAACGTATAAATTTTTGTATTTATTGTAATTANTCTATGTTTACGATATTCCCTACAACGTCTGTCGTGAGTAGAAGTGGGCGTTCTGTCAGCAACCGCTCTATTCTCCTTTTTATTTATTGGTGTCCTCTGCAATTCCTACCTGACATCTCTTTTCTATGTTTACGAAATCCCCTTCAACTTCTGTCGTGTGTATAGGTGGGCATTCTGTCAACAATCGCTCTATTATCATTTTTATTTATTGATTTCCGCTGCAATTCCTTCCTGACATCTCGTTTCTATGTTTACGATATTCCCTACAACGTCTGTCGTGAGTAGAAGTGGGCGTTCTGTCAGCAACCGCTCTATTCTCCTTTTTATTTATTGGTGTCCTCTGCAATTCCTACCTGACATCTCTTTTCTATGTTTACGAAATCCCCTTCAACTTCTGTCGTGTGTATAGGTGGGCATTCTGTCAACAATCGCTCTATTATCATTTTTATTTATTGATTTCCGCTGCAATTCCTTCCTGACATCTCGTTTCTATGTTTACGATATTCCCTACAACGTCTGTCGTGAGTAGAAGTGGGCGTTCTGTCAGCAACCGCTCTATTCTCCTTTTTATTTATTGGTGTCCTCTGCAATTCCTACCTGACATCTCTTTTCTATGTTTACGAAATCCCCTTCAACTTCTGTCGTGTGTATAGGTGGGCATTCTGTCAACAATCGCTCTATTATCATTTTTATTTATTGATTTCCGCTGCAATTCCTTCCTGACATCTCGTTTCTATGTTTACGATATTCCCTACAACGTCTGTCGTGAGTAGAAGTGGGCGTTCTGTCAGCAACCGCTCTATTCTCCTTTTTATTTATTGGTGTCCTCTGCAATTCCTACCTGACATCTCTTTTCTATGTTTACGAAATCCCCTTCAACTTCTGTCGTGTGTATAGGTGGGCATTCTGTCAACAATCGCTCTATTATCATTTTTATTTATTGATTTCCGCTGCAATTCCTTCCTGACATCTCGTTTCTATGTTTACGATATTCCCTACAACGTCTGTCGTGAGTAGAAGTGGGCGTTCTGTCAGCAACCGCTCTATTCTCCTTTTTATTTATTGGTGTCCTCTGCAATTCCTACCTGACATCTCTTTTCTATGTTTACGAAATCCCCTTCAACTTCTGTCGTGTGTATAGGTGGGCATTCTGTCAACAATCGCTCTATTATCATTTTTATTTATTGATTTCCGCTGCAATTCCTTCCTGACATCTCGTTTCTATGTTTACGATATTCCCTACAACGTCTGTCGTGAGTAGAAGTGGGCGTTCTGTCAGCAACCGCTCTATTCTCCTTTTTATTTATTGGTGTCCTCTGCAATTCCTACCTGACATCTCTTTTCTATGTTTACGAAATCCCCTTCAACTTCTGTCGTGTGTATAGGTGGGCATTCTGTCAACAATCGCTCTATTATCATTTTTATTTATTGATTTCCGCTGCAATTCCTTCCTGACATCTCGTTTCTATGTTTACGATATTCCCTACAACGTCTGTCGTGAGTAGAAGTGGGCGTTCTGTCAGCAACCGCTCTATTCTCCTTTTTATTTATTGGTGTCCTCTGCAATTCCTACCTGACATCTCTTTTCTATGTTTACGAAATCCCCTTCAACTTCTGTCGTGTGTATAGGTGGGCATTCTGTCAACAATCGCTCTATTATCATTTTTATTTATTGATTTCCGCTGCAATTCCTTCCTGACATCTCGTTTCTATGTTTACGATATTCCCTACAACGTCTGTCGTGAGTAGAAGTGGGCGTTCTGTCAGCAACCGCTCTATTCTCCTTTTTATTTATTGGTGTCCTCTGCAATTCCTACCTGACATCTCTTTTCTATGTTTACGAAATCCCCTTCAACTTCTGTCGTGTGTATAGGTGGGCATTCTGTCAACAATCGCTCTATTATCATTTTTATTTATTGATTTCCGCTGCAATTCCTTCCTGACATCTCGTTTCTATGTTTACGATATTCCCTACAACGTCTGTCGTGAGTAGAAGTGGGCGTTCTGTCAGCAACCGCTCTATTCTCCTTTTTATTTATTGGTGTCCGCTGCAATTCCTACCTGACATCTCTTTTCTATGTTTACGATATTCCCTACAACGTCTGTCGTGAGTAGAACTGGGCGTTCTGTCAACAACCACTCTACTCTACTTTTTATTTATTGGTGTCCGCTGCAATTCCTACCTGACATCTCGTTTCTATGTTTACGATATTCCCAACAACGTCTGTCGTGAGTAGTAGTGGGCGTTCTGTCAACAACCACTCTATTCCCCTTTTTATTTATTGGTGTCCGCTGCAATTCTTACCTGACATCTCGTTTCTATGTATACGATATTCCTTACAACGTCTGTCGTGAGTAGATGTGGGCGTTCTGTCAGCAATCGCTCTGGTCTAGTTAGTAAGTTGAAAGAAGAAATTAAATGCGACAGTTTTATTGCAGACTATGCTAACTTTAAACATCTTAACTATCTGCCTGTATTTGTTATAATAATGTTTGCATAATTGGCTCAAACCTGTTTCGGGTGTACACTTGTCCGATAGGTAGGTATCGGTAATATTGTCGCATAGAGTCACCTCACCATCTATTTCCTCTGAATCATTTTTTAAACATATCGTTTGAAAACAGTCAAATTGAAATCTGAAAATTCACTTTCAGATTTTGTTTTTCCAAATTTTATAATATGATAGGCATTAAGTATGCGTTCACCTTCAAGAAAATTTAGTTTTCGGGGTCTTGTGTTGTGACTCTACATTATGAGACGAAATGTTTTAGTTTTCACTTCAAGATCGGATTATTGGTGGATTATGGTAACATCCGGGTGCCTCGGTGCTATGAGAGGTCCTCTTTACACTTTCATCGCGTTGGTAATTGATGAAGAATATCCACAACAATTTCCAAAAGCATTTAGTTTTTACATGGTTATAAGTGGAATTACAGCTTTTAGTGTGGGTCAAATTTTATGTAAGTAATTAACCTTCTTGCATTGTACGATTCTTACAAGCTTTCCTTTCGTAATTAGAAATAATAGAAAACACTATTCCCTTATGTACAATACTAACGAATAATATGCCGGTATTATAATGGGCTTAGGTGGATTAGCACGGACAATTATGAGATAATTTAGTTATTTTGATAATGAAAAAATTTTAGGGGTGGTTTCCTTAAAATGAATTTATTGATAAGTACAGATTCGTTAGAAATACCGTAGCAATTTTTAATTACTAACTAATAAGTTGTGGTCCGATTTGAGTTGAAAATGTTCAANAAAGAATCCCTGAAAAGTCATTTCAATTAAGATCTAATAATTTCTAGTCCAAAGATTAGCCCCTACACTAAAGCCCCCAGAAAATTACTGACCTTACCTGTTTCTGTTATTTCTGTAGTAGGAAGTTTCTCCCAATTAAAAAGAATAGAAAATGATTTAAGATCAAGTATGGATAAGAATACGCTCAGCGGATTGGCATTAATTTCAATAGAAAATGAAATGGCAACTACATTAAATTATAACGATTTAGGGTGTGTCCCGAAATATAACTCAGCATACTGGCCAGTGTTGATGAGGTCATGAATTGACGCCATATTGTACAGTCGTGTGTGCATCAGTGTTTGAGGAATTTTTTATAGTAAGAAACTTTAATGACTTTTGAAGCAAAATTGTTGTAAACGAGCACAAACACTATTCTCAATGCATTGGTCAGTACATTTCGGAACGAATCAACAGTATGACATCGATTTATGATGTCATCAGCACTGGCCAGTATACTGGGTTATATTTCCGAACACACCCTTAATTTCTACTTTTGCAGAAAATAAAGCTGGAAAATCTGTTTGGTTTTTTTACTGATGTTTATATTGTTTAATTTTGAATTGTACGAGAAATGTATACATTTCCCAGGATATATGTGTATTAAAAAATCATTGAAACAATATTTTATAGGTTTGCTAAGTAGCCTCGGAATTGTATACATTTCCTAGGAATTATATACAATTCCTAGATTTCATATATTTCCGTTTCATATTGTAGCGACCACGAGCGTGATTGTGTGCGATCGGGCATACGTGTGTGTGAACGGCTTATCGATTCGCCGACTAGCCGCGGGCGCTTTTCTTCATGTGCGCCGTATCTGTAAACGTGTGTGTCGTACCTGCGTTCCGGGAAAGCAATTAAACCGTTCAAAGAAAACGAGACTTCTCTGGACGGCTGAAGAACGTTCCCGAAAAGAGGCAAGGGAGTATAAAAAGGAAGAGGCGATTGCCGGAGTAGAGTAGAAATAAATTGACCGTTGCAGAAGTGAATCAAAAAATAAATAGACAGTGATAGAAGTAAAATAAATAGAACAGTGAAGAGTAACAGTAGTGTAAATAAATAGAATAATTACCTAACTTTAGTAATAATTTAATAGTGTTTTTAAGTCCTTTAGTAATAATTAGTGTAAATAAATAGTTTTTGTCGTTGTGAGTCTTAAAAGTTAATTTGTTAAACCCACGAACATTACAATATATACGATAACCAATATTTTTAAGGGAAGATATTTTTTAACAGTTTGCCCGAGGCGGTCTTAACTGTATAGACATTCCTGCGAAAAACTATAGATACTTTCACATAAAACGTATTGCTTTATGCCTACTTTTCGACTCTATAGCCTTTGCGATATTGCTCCAAAATTCAAACGAAATGTTTTAAAAGCAATTTTAGACAATGTTACTCGATCTTATCGTATGTGATCAGTGAAGCAGATATTGAGGAAAGGCTGAAAGCAAAAAAGGAATTCTGTAGCCATAAAACCGTACTAATGGTTTAGAAGGGTTGATGCGCAGGAAAATCGTTTTGTTTTAGAGAACCCGCCGATTCAAACATATTTCAAGTATTAACCCCATCGACGACGACGTGCTCATTTTTTGCTAATTCATCTACCTAGTTTTGTTGTTTTAAACTAATTTAATTCGAGATTAAATGAATCGATTTACACTCCAATAACTACCGATGTTAAATGCTGACTCATTTTGGGCGTAAAAATTGGAATTGATTAACGCGTTAGATGAAGCAAAATAATTAATTTGTCGTTTTCTTTTCGAAAGTCAAGAAAACTTGAAATTAAAGAAAACAGGCGTAATTAGATTNCTAATAATTTATCGACATTTTCTTTTGGTAGATTGTTTATTATTATTGGATCAGCCTCAGGCTTCCGTTTGTGAGAATATTCAAGTCATTTCTAAATATGTACTTTAAATGCCTGTTGTCATTCCTAATAATACAACAAACAATGAGACTTGGGCACTAATTTAGTTTTTGAATATGATTTATGAATACTGTAATTAAGTTGAATAAAAACAAAAACAACTTGACACAAAATGCTTTTACAGTTTTAAAAAGTAATAACTTAAAGTACTATAAGAAAAGAAAAACTTCATTCATTTAAGGCGCCTTAAAACTGTGTAGGTTTCCCGTGATGTAAAATATACCGAACGTAAGCAACACTTAATCTTTAAAATCAATCTCCAAAACCGATTAAAATCTTTTTATCACAATCATTATAAGTTACATTTTATATATTTTACTGTGAAAATTCATTTTTAATATTCAATCCCGCAACAAACTACCTCCAGTTAATGAGGAAAAATTTTGGTTGCTGTTGTCACACCCTTGCCGGGAATCGAACCCGGGACCTTTGGCTTTACGCGCCAATGCTCTGACCACTTAACTACAAGAGGTGACAACAGCAACAATGACAAACCGTACATATTAGGTTACAGATCTGTCGAACTAATGTAATTATATTAATACTATATATAAGAAACACTTTAACATTTAATAGTGGTTAATATTATTGGCGTGTAGCCATTCCTTTGCCGTCTAGTCCTATTAACGCTTTATACTCATTCATTTCTTTTCACATTTTGTTTCGGAACATGTTTCAAAGTCTAACTCTAATCTCCACATATCCTACATTTCCGTTTTTCTTCTTTCACCTAGTAATTGTTTTCAATGCCTACGTTCAATTCCCATTTTAAATATTGCCATAATTGTCAAATTGTCATTTCCCCTCAAATAGGCATTATAATTCGGTACTAACCTTCCGATAACCATTCCTTCATCCTTTCCGCATACTTCGACTTTTGTATTGTTCTCAAATCTTTCTCTCTTTCTTAACCATTTGCTCTTATTATTATTACCATCACTTCCTCTAAAGCTCATATCTCTTTCTCATATTAATTTTCATTACATGTTATTATGTTTATGTTATTTACATATATGCCATTCCATCGTCATTATTATCATGAGATCTTCAGTCTGAAGACTAATTGAACGCGTACCTCAACTTCTATGAATCCTGAACCAATCTTCGCATTTCTCGAAAACTACAGCTACCTACACCTCTATTTTTGAACATTAATGTAATCTTCATTTACCTCTGTCTTTCTTAATTCCTGTTTCTGATTTTAATGTCTCTAACTAACCCTTCATGTCTGTCAGGTTTCCTACCAACCTATCTCGCCTGTTTCTCTGTTCTTCTATATACAATACCTCAACATTTCTGTCCTTTTCTATCCAGGGCATTTTTAAGATATTCCCATAGCATGACGCCTCAAACGCTTCTAATCTTTTCCTTTCAGGAGCGCGCACCGTTTACCCTTGACATCCACTCAGAACCGTGTGCCAAATTTCCAAATTAACCTACGGAGTAGGTACACTAAGTGATCTCTTATTGACAGGGATCTGGGCTATTATTTGTTTTATATCTCTAAAATCTCCTCGTTAGTCACCTACTTTGACCGATGAACTTCACTAATGTATTATTATTACTTTTGAAATCTTCACTTAAAATTGGAAACACCTTTTTATCTTCACACATGTACATTTCTTAATGCCTAATTTAATCTCTCTTAAACCTTATTTATCGACCCCTACTTGACATAAATATGCGATTTTATAGAACCGTATTCGTTCACAATAAAATTCTTTTCATTGAATATTAACGTAATATCTCCATCCTCGAACTAGAAAACATGAAATATGCATTTTCTACGTCATTTGATCTAACGTGTCGTTATCATGCACCAGTCCCTTTTTTATGTAACCTGCTTATAAATTCATCAAATAGAAATGCAGGCAGATTACGACGTGACATAACAACGTTAATGACATTCATTGTGATGTTGTTATACTTTAGCTACAAACAGTTGTACATATATATCATTTTGAAATATGTAACAATAGATTTAAAAATGTTTGCTTTTTGGTAAATTACAACATCTAGTTCATGATAAGAGGCATCGGATAGTAGACACAAAATGCGTTTTACTAAAGCTTGAACTACTGTTTGGTATGTACTTACTATGACTGCCCATGTCGATCTTGACAATATTCGTCCTAAAAGGGCAACAGTGTATAAAAGGGTTCCTCCAGATGGTGGCTATGGCTATGTGATTGTAGCAGCTTTAACACTATTTATTGTAAGTTATTTTTATTGATTATATTTTTATTGTATATGTAGTAAATTCACGATGCGTAAATTAACCCTCCGTCATCAGTCGCGTCCATTAGGTCCAAAGGATCTATGCAGTGGTATCTTCATTACAGGCATTTAAAAGTTCGATTAATATATTGTACATGAAATGGTTCATTTACAATCGATTACCAAAACCACTTCGATTCTTGTGGAGATTCAGGTATCAATTCTGACCAGGTTACTATGTTTCTAATACTACTATAATTTACTAAGTAATCGTTTCAAGTTTAGCGTTTTTAATCTATAATAGGAGTTTTCTTTGAATATTGATGAAGGTGACTTACTATTCATCACCATGAGGTCGTCACTCCTAAAACTGGCTGGACACGACCTTCCTATCCTGAGCTAATCTTCACATTTCCCTAAAGCTAAATCCTTAACTATTTGTGAATAGTAATCTAATGTAGGTCTACCTCTACTGTTCTTAACTCCAGTTTTTGCCTTTAACATGTCTCTGACTAGCCCTGAGAAGCTGTCCTACCCATCTATCTCGCCTATTTCTTATTGACTTCCATAGAGTCCTATGTTCTCCTTTCTTTTTAATACCTCTTCATTTCTAATCTTATCTATCTACGGTATCCTTATTATTCGCATGCATATCAAACGCTTCTAACCTTTTCTTTTCTGCCACGCCCACCGTCCATGTTTCCCACCCGTACAGTGTCGCGCTCCAAACAAACACCTTTTCATTTTCGAATTTCTAAATTAACCGTTCGCGAGCATAGAAGTGACTTCTTTTTATTGAAGGCGATTCGACATTGCGCTATCCTCTGCTTTATATCCCTACTACTCCTTCCGTCTTGACTTATCTGACATCCTAGATACGGAAAATCAGCCACTTCTTCTAATTTTTAGTCTCCTATATTTGCTCTACGTATATCATCTGCAAGCTGCATAAGCTTACTATTATCAATGATTATTTGGATTTTTGTAATAATTTGGTATGACCTTGTTTAATTGTACTATAGGTAGGTACGCTTATCTCCTGAACTATGAGGTAACGATGAGTTAGAGGTAAGTTTTCGATCTAAATGAGACGTGCCTTTTCCAAAATAATTTGGTTTCATTTCTCTATAGTTCATTAGTAACACAACATAATTTCATACTTTTCAAAACTAATAATTAGACACAATAAACAGCCACACAAAAAGAAACTTTCGGCCTAGGGATCTAACTATGTAATATGCATGATATTGGGGTCGCTGAATCCAAATCTGAGGTCAACTCAACTTCAGCAAGTCAGGGTTTGAACATAAATAAAAACACACTCCGAAACCTACTGAAACCTTTAATCAAGATAATCCCAAGCGATTTTAAAACTAAAAAACCCCCATCAACTCTTCCACTAAATGTATAACTTCATGATCCTTTAAATTCCTAACTCTAAAACCTTATGACCCCATAACCCTCATAATAACAATACTGTAACAGTATTACTCAGTCTCTTTGGTTTTGGAGTTTACTCCTTAAGAATCGATTTCGTTTATAGCCCCCGGTATGAAAATATGATGGGTGGTATAGTAAAATCGAACGTTAACAAAAGGCGTTATCTTTTACAAACGAATTAATCTTAGCGTCATTTAAGAGAACTTTTTAACATTAAATAACTTTTCGTGGTAACTGTTGGGAGATGACGGAAGTAAGGTTGACCTTGAATAATCCTAAAAAGTGGTGAAAATTGAGGTGGCAACACGGTATATAAATTTATATATTTTTTTTGAGTAAGGGTTAAATAAGGGTGGGTAGATGTGTAAGGGGGGCGCATTTATCTGACACTTAACCTACATTATACGGTTGTAAAATGTTCATTTTTAGCCTCCACCTACCTCGCCTCCACTCCAGTGCCGCCACTTTATGTCAATGAGTATGAAGTCCTTGAACCATTAAAGAAATTCTTATTTTTTCTATTAAAAGATTTTATATTATGTATATATATTTCCACTGACTACTGCTGTCCTTCTTACACTCGTGCATCTTATATTAGCACCTTGCAGACGATCAGCTAAATCTTTGCTCAATTGTTTTTAATGTGTAACGAATAAAGCTTAATGCCAGCACCTCTAAAGCATTTTTGATTTTCATATACTTTCTTTCAGCTTTCTACATTAGTTCCTCATGCATGTTTTGGATTGCTTTATGGATCATATTTAGCAGATCGAGGGGATGAAACAAGTTCTGTTACTACAGTGGCGTCCCTTTACAGTTGCATTTATCATTTCTCTGGTATTATTGTTATACTAATAAATATTAATACAGGGTGAACCAAAAGTCCCAATATAGGCCGACAACTTAAAAATCACGAGCTGTAAAAACCGTGTCTTATAAGTCCTAAACTACAGAATTTCTTGCTAATTATTTATTTTGGTCTTGGTACGCTGTCAATTTTGTAAAAAAAGCTGATTTTTAAGATCTTTGAGGAAGAAACGGAAGTACGTGTCCAATCAGCCTTCTGGCTGAAGACTTTATGTTGATGATGAGGGTTGGACTCATTGAAGAAAACACATAAGAACTTATTCCAATTTTTATTTAGGTACAAAAAGATCGTTTCGATAAAAAATAAATTGTCTTAATATTGACCTTGAAAGTGATTATCAACGTTAGTACAAGAAGTACAGTAAGTACAAGAAGTAATGTAAAATACTCACACTTACAACTTGAGTAAAAAACATTTTGACACATGGCTCTTCGTCAGCTTATGCTGGGACATTTAACATCCCTTATATCTATGGACTCATTAGAATTTATGCTATCATTCACGGTTTTCGGATAGAAAACCAGGTACTAAGGTACCAACTGACTATGATGCTTATCATCCCAACTGACCCGTAGCAAAACCACGACTAACGGCTTCGATGTAAAGTTTATGAACACTTCAGCACAGTGTAAAGATTCCATACAGTAGGTTCACCTCCAAGCCACGCCCATACACCCCTCTCCTATCGATGCTTTACCATTTCGTCAATGAGTTCCTCGCTAAGCAGGGGCTGGCTTGTTCAGAGTGTCATCGTGAAGCCACAGTACAAAAATTTGTTGTAAACACTTTGGTAAAATTATTGAAACGACATCGTAAAGTTAATTTATGATGGCCTGCAAAAACCTGAGGTGTGTATACCTGTATAGAATCTTTATACTATGACTTCAGTATCAAAACTAACTTAACTCTCAAAAAATACATCGAAATATTTACCAAATGTTATTAACTTAAATAAATAATACTGGATTCATGTAGATTCATTCATTCACGTTTATATCTAGAAATATTTAATGAACTATTTTAGAACGAACTTCCTTGTCACACAGCTTTTTATTCATTTGGATATTTACTTGACAAATTGCATAATTTTCTTGTTTTGAAATATTGTAATTGTTAGTATATTTTAAGGAATAATTTCAAATCCACTGCTGCAGATATGGCCGAAAAGAACGATTGGGTTAATAGGGGCCGCAATGATTTTCTCCGGAAACATAGGCACTATATTTATAACAACTGCGAACCATTTAGTAATCACTTACGGAATAATACAAGGCAGGTACTTAGCTATTACATAAACTAAAAAGAGACCTACCTTACTTACCATTAAATCCTTTCCTCCTACTGGTTCGTAATTCAGCCACTTCTAATGATTAATTTTGTGATTTATAATACATCAACTTAGGATTGGGAATTGGATTCCTCTTACCTGCTGCAATGACATCTTTCAATGATTATTTTGCACAAAGAAAGAACTTTCTGATGGGCGTATCTCAGACTATTACAGCTGGACTGACAATTTTATACCCTACATTCATGCGATTCTTGTTGAGTCAATATGGCTTCAGAGGAGCTGTGGCTATTTTAGCAGCAATAAATAGTCACGTAATTTTTACAGCCGTCTCTCTCCATCCTGTGAAATGGCATTTAAAGAAAGTTATCGAGGAGGAAACAGAAACTAAAACCGGTAAGCTATAAGATTCTCTATTTTATTATCTATTGCGGAGTTTGGCATAGAAGCACATTTGCTTTGACAAAAGAAAAAATGGGTTCCAATCCCAGTCCAGTATTTCTTTTCTGAACAAAGAAGTTCATGGTGGTTAGTATTTAGTCGAAACTACCAGACGCGGATTACGATTTCGATCTTGTTGAATCTCATTAGCTCGTCGCAGACAGTCTCGACAGGACGCAGATGTTGTTTTTGTTTAGTTTCTCCTCGAGGAGAGAAAATCTTCAAAAGACACCCCTTAAAAGGGTGGTGGTGTCGGATTAGCTGAAGCACCTATTGACTAAAACCTCTCCTCGAGTAAGGAGATCAACCAGAAGGTTATACATCTCAAAAAGTAGGGTAGGCACTCGCACTAAAAAGCGAAACTAGAATTGAGCAAATGTGAGCAGCTCAGGGTCTTCTGAAACGGTCGTTTGGCTTAGGGTCGAAGTCGGAATGTATCGGGATAGACGGATTTGGGTGACCTGACACTGGGGCCCTGAAATTTGCTGTGAATCTGGTTGCAGCCTTGGGGATAGAAGGTAGACCAGTTCATTTCAGATTTTGGGTGTTTCTGATGAACAATGGGTAGTTGAGTAGGAAGCGAAGGATCCGCATATAGGTGCCTTGAAGAATTTGAAGGCGGTGGGGATGGGTGCAGCCCCAGATGGGAATGGCGTAGGAACAACTGCTACTGATAATTGCGTTGAACACATGGACTTTTGTTTGATGGGAGATAAAGTTATTTTGAAAAAAAAGCTTCAAGGAGAAAAGGGCGCCTAGGGTAAGGATGTGTTTTCGTCATGTCAGTGTTCTGTCAGAGACGACGCCAAGGTAGAAGACGGAGTTGCTCCATTTGATGGGGTGATTGTTAACGATGATGGTGGGGGGCTTTCGGGTCCTATGGGAGAAGAAGATTGTTTCCGATTTGGTCTCGTTAACAGCAAGTTTCCATTTTCAATACCAGTTGAGGAGCAGGGGCAGAAATTTGTTAATATTTGCGGAGGTCCATAAAACTGTTTTGATGGAATTTATGAGGGCAATGTCATCGGCGTAAAAGGCAGTATAAATTAAAGGGTAGGACGGCAAGTCTGCACAGAAGAGGTTGACTAGAATTGGCGACAGGTTAGAGCCTTGGAGGACGCCGGAGGTGAGGGGTTAGCTGGGGGATAGGGCGGATCCACGCTTACACGCAGGGTTCCTGCCAGAAAGAAAGGATCTAAGAACCCCGATAAGGAAGTGCGGGGTTTTGTGGTCAATAAGCTTGGAAATGAGACATTCATGCCAGACTCGATCGAAGGCCTGTAGGATAAGACAGGACACTGACCAATCCTACCTGCTGTCTAGAGACAGCTGTTTATGAAGTACCCCAAGCGGCGTAGTGAACGCCATCTGTAGTACAATGCGCGTCTAGCAATTTCAACAGAATACTCACCACTATTAACTTGTTGGTTTAATTTGGTTACGTGCATACCACACAGGTGGCGTTCACCACGCCGTTTGTGATACTTCATTCGTTTTCTTATTGAGTATTTTTCAGAAATTTACTACTATTTTCTATGATGGGCATGTACATCCTATTTTTCACAATAATAAATGCAGTAACTTTGCAGTGCCTACCTCGTACGAGTTCAAGCAGACACCATGAATTTGATGTCGTTTTGTTTCAGTTTGCAAACTTTGTTACGTTACTTCGATACACAAATTAAATGTTTTATTTAACATAAATTGCAATACGTAATATTGCCACTAACCTAAATAAACTTCTTACCAGTTCAAGATAAAGACGCGAAGAACGAGACCGTGCCCAGTAGTCTCAATGGCGAAGATGGTCAACTTCTAAGAAAGAGATTCTCACTGAGTCCTCCAGACAATGCAGAAAGAATGCGTATGGCAAGACCATCTGTGATTAGCATTGGAAGCTTTACAGTGCCTGTAGGTGCTCGCGATAGTAAAAAGAAAGGATTTTGGTAAGAATACTTGAAAACTAGTGAAAGGTAAAATAACTAAAGGTAACATATTTTCTTTTAAGGAAATCGTTAGACTTTAGTGTACTGAAGGATCCAACGTATTATAACTTGATTATCGGTGTTTCTTTGGGACTCATGGCTGAATACAATTTTATTGCTATACTTCCTAGTTATTTATCAAAACGTGAATACACAAAAGAAGACATCGCTATGGTTTTAACTGCTTATTTTGCATCAGATTTAGTAGGACGGCTTTTATATACCACCTGCATGGCGTTGGTGAGAATGCCCAATCGAATTCTGTTTTTGGGAGCTTCTATTATGTGTGTTCTGGTGAGAGTTGGTAAGTCTGAAATAATAAAGGATATTAAACATATACATTTAGATGATTCACTCCTCCTTGTTAATTCTGTTAGTATATTCAAAGTAGAAAAAGGAGGCTGTGGTAAATTAATATTAATTAAAAAATTAAAAAGAAGACTAACCCCTAATTACCACAAAAACTTTTTTCAGCGGGCACGTGTTTCGCCCATTCACACAGTCTCGCGTTGATAATGCCCACGTATGAAGTGGGCGAAAAACGTGTCCGTTCGAAAAGGTTTTTGTGGTAATTAGGGGTGAGTCTTTTTTTTAATTTTTTAATTAACTGTTAGTATATATTGTTAATAGGTAAATAATGTTGAAGCATCAATAAGAATGACGAGTGATAAACAGTAAGAAGTTATAAGATAATGTTCGCCTGTAGTTTAAAAGTACACAGTGAGTTCGACGACGTAGTGCCCAACTTCATCCAGTAATACTAGTTGCGCTATGTAAGATACAATAATTTGTATTTGGATATTTGGAGTGCTTGCGGAGTTTCGTTTATTCAGAGTTTTTTAATATAGTACAATTTTTTTACATTACTAAACAGAATGGCAACGTGAAGTGATCAGAATAGGTACTTATTAGCGTTCGGAAGCATAACGTTTTGAATACGAATGGTGTGAAGACTGCCGCATCAAGACTCCTGAACACGAGGTCTGTTCAAAAAGCATTGCCAATTTTGTGTTTCAAAGTCTTCAAGTAATCCCCACCAGATATTATACACTTGTGCCACCGTTTTTCTCAATCCTCGAAGCACTTCAAACAATCAGTATTTGTGATCTTGTTCAGCTCCACTTCGGTGCCGTCTTTACATCCACAATCGTAGCGAAGCGTCGTTCTTTCATGGGCCTCTTCAGTTTAGGGAACAACAAAAGTTACAGGGGGCCAGATCTGGGGAATACGATAGATGCGGCATTATTAGTGTGTTGTTTTTGGCCGAAAATTCCCGCACAAGTAACGACGGGCGTTATCATGGTGTAAAAGCCAATTTTTGTTCTTCCACGGATCCGGGCGTTTATGGCAGATTGCTTCGCGAACATTGCGCATAACATCCAGGTAATATTCCTTATTGACCGTTCTACCCTGTGGCAAGAATATATAATGCAACACGTCCCTGCAATCGAAGAAAACTACAACCAAAACCTTCACATACAACCTAACTTGGCGCGTTTTTTTCGGTTTCGGCTCGTGCGGCTGCTTCCATTGGAACGATAGAGTTTTAGTTTCCATGTCACAACCATAAATCCATGATTCTTAACTAGTCATGACCCTCCGCAGCAAATTTGGGTTGTCGCGGACAGAGTCTAAGAGCTCTTTAGCAATGTCAATGCTATGCTGTTTTTGGTCGAAATTGAGCCATTTTGGTACGAAATCATTGGTATAAATCGAATGGCAGGAGCAACTTCTCTAATAATCATTCGACAATTGGCCAATACTATTTTCTTCACTTTGTCAATGGTTTTGTCTGTTGCTGACGTGCTCGGACATCCGGCATGCTCTTCGTCGTTCACATCTCCTCAGCCCTTTGAGATCGTTTTGTTTTTTTATAAGTTAAATAATTCACCAGAAATTCATCGAAACCGCCAGAAGTGAATCGCGATTTTGATCTTATTAGGTATCACATCAGCATTCCGTACGCAGTCTCGATAAATTACTTCCAAACTAATGAAGCTTTTTTTGCTATGTTTTCATGGAAAAGGGAAATCTTCAAAAGACACCCAGCCATCCGTACGACTGGGTAGTGTCGGATTCCCGGGGAAGGTGTCCTCGGACCTACCGACTAAAACCCCTCTACCTCAGAATGTTCTAGGACCACTTAAAGTCCTTTTCCGTCGTATGTGTTTGTATATTATATGATTGTGATTCCTATATGAAGATTGAAGCTCCTAAACAGCGGATTTTTGATAATATTCAAGCACAGGTAGTGCGTCGCCATCTAGTAGATATTTGTTGTTACTGAAGTATTTAATGTGTTATATAAGACCTTGCAAAGATATCAATTCATTTAACAGAAACGACGATGTAACTTACTTTGTTATGTTCGTGATCTGATTAAATAAGCATTCTTATCAAAGTGGTAGCCACGCATGTAAGCTGAATCATCGATTCAGTTAAGCAAGTTGATACCGTAGTAAGGCCTTGACGAACACATAAAATGCTTTAGAAGCAATGAATACCCACTAGATGGCGGTACACTGCATGTATTTGCATATTATGTAAACTCACCTTTAGGAGCTTCACCGATTTGGTCAGTAATTCTTCGAGACTGCCCGTTATGAGATTTAATAAAATTAAAAGCGCGATTCGCGTTTGAACTATATTACAGTGATGTTACTCTCTTTGTTCACAGCTTTATCGCTTTTGAGAGAGGTTGGGTTACTCCCTACATTTTTGCAAATATTTTTAAAAATTTCATAAACTATAAATGAATCCAATTAGCGTAACTACAATCACAAAGACACCGTTTAGTGAAACAATTGTCATGATTGTTGTTTATTTACAAAACAAGTTAATGTGAAAGTTATTATCTTGTTTGTAGTTGCTGATTTTATTTTTTGACGTGACAACGTCTTATAATTCGATGGAGCCCCGGCTGCACGCACGAAAAAACATGACTCATGCGGCGTTACCCCGCTCTGAAACGTTCCATTTAAGGCTTGAAGTGCAAGCGAGAGCGCGGAACGAGCGACAAAGAGGCACAATCGGTCTCCGCGTTCGGCAGCGTTCGACATCTGTCTCTCTCCTACTTGAGTGAGCGATGCGTCCGCGTGGACAGCTGCTATACAATAATACATTTCCATTTACCTCCTTCTCTATATCCATACAAAATATCTATCAAACAAATAAAATTAAAATTTTCTTTTGAAAAATGAAACCATTCCATCAGTATTTTCTTATGACGTTGTCACGTTCAACTATCGTCAGTAAACCGACTTTACAATCGATTTTTTTTTTTATTTCTATAATAATCTTTTGTAGCATTTTCATTTAGTTCGAACTATTGGTGGGTAGTCGGAATAATTGGAAGCCTTGGTGCTCTGAGGGGGTTCATCCATACTCCCATAGTACTTTGTATTGCTGATGAGTATTCGGATAAATTTACCAGCGCTTTCACGCTTTACATGGTAATCTGTGGAATAGTCGCATTTATAGTTGGTCAAGTTCTAAGTAAGTAAATTAAATTTTAAATGTTTATCATGATGCTTCATACATTATTTTATTGACTTTAATCTATGTTTTACGATTTCTTTTTTCAGATGTTGCGAAATATGTTACACAAAGCGACGAAGTAGTCATTCACATTCTAACAGCATTATATGTGGTTATTGTTGTTTGTTGGTCTATTGAACTGATTTATAAACGGGTAAAGGGTATCAAACCTCGGTCTAAAACAACAAATCTAGGTTCAAGCCATTAACTTTACAAATACTCAAATTTCCGAATCATTCGAATTTTGTCGAATAATTTGACTGTTTTTTTTTTAAGTAAAGTGCATATCATTTCCAATGGAATTAAATGAACAATTGTCCTTCCTCTAGTTAATGATTACATATTATGAACACTGAATGGAATTAATTTCATATTCGTTTATATGAAAATTTTCTATTGGTTTTTCTCTTAATTATATCTATACTAAACTAAAAAAGTGGAATTAATAAATGTTAAAATTACTTTCATTTTTATACTTACTAGCGAAGTTAATAATCATAACTCAGTGTCTTGTTAATAATGCTAAGATATTCAATTTTCGAATAACTGGGTAATTGCTTGTGCATTTTACATGTGACAGTAGTTTTTAGAACTAAATTGTAGTTCTGTAGTGTAAAAAATATAAAACAATAAAATAAAATATTCTTGATACTCTATCGGAGCATACTTGACACCTGGTTCTATTTGTAACTAGGTACAAATTATATTATTGAATATTTTAACATAACCAAAAGGAAACTTTATTGTGTTTGTTGCTTAAACTGGTGCTGTTATAATTTTTGATAATGTTTACATAGAATGAAAAAAATTCGGTCCCGTTGTCTGTACGCTTAGACTTTTAATTTGCGCAACGGTTTTTAATGAAGTTTTCAGCAATAGATAGAGTGATTCAAGAAGAAGGTATGTACGTACTTATAATACATACGTATTATATTACAGAAGAGCCCAGAAATTCAATGATTTGTAATGTGATGTCGTAACAAACATATTTTTGTTCGCTTATTTGCAAACGCTGGCTAAACCTTACGAGATCGATCAAATTAATGGAGACTTCATTTACTTCCAAAGTCTTGGATGCGCGCTGTCAAAATCGTAGATAGAGAGAAAAAAGCTCATTATACTTTCGTCTCTCGTTCATGAAACATACTTTTTTTTCATACAGAACCTGCCAAAAGTTTTGTTCAAACATGAATAGTAGTGCGAGTCGAAAACAAGCGTTGAAGCCTTTAAATGTCTTCAAATATAAATAAACATCTCGTTGATATTTTCAGTAGTATATGGTACCAATAACAGCACATTTGAGCAATGCAATTGTAGTGGATAAAATGGTCAATTTTTCCGTGCAGTACTGTACGGATTATACGCTCCTCACCGGTTAAGAGTTTGACCGAGAGTTGTCTCCTTTCTTTTCTGGCCTAGTGCTGTTCTTTTCTACTTTGCGCCGGTCAAACTGAAGGTCACAT